GGATTGACCCCAGGGGCTGAGATCAGAACCCAGCCCTACCCCCGCTGCAAACAGGAGTGACTCCAGATTGACCCCTGGACCTGAGATCAGCATCTGACCCACCTACCTGATATACGGGAACCCGACTGTGACGTTCACAGACCCGTTGGCCACGGACATGGCGTATCTGCGGGGGAAAGGGGGGCGTGTGACAGAGCTGGTCCCGAAGGGAAGGGGAGCAGGAGCTCAGGGTCTCAGAGTCACCCATCAAACCCTCTCCTCAGCACCCTCCCTCTGACCCACCCCCTGGAGGGGACAGGCCCCGAGCCCCATTCCCCACCCCGCAAGTCAGCCAATCCCTGCCTTGGGGCTGGATGGGAGCCAGTGCCCCCTGGAGGGGACAGGCCCCATGCCCCATTCCCCACCCAAGGCAGGTAGGAAGCCCCAGGCAGAATGGGGGAACTCACCTACCCCCCCATACGTTACTTACACCACCCAGAAGCCCACAGTGCCCCAGATGGCCAGCAGGACAGGGAGCAGGGCCCAGCCCCACATGGCAGAGACCTAAACAGGGGAAAGGGGGTGAGACACTGGTGAAGGGGGAGAGCCCCCCCACTCCTTCCCTCTCCAGAAGGCTGGGTTCCCTCCCCCCACCAAAGAGAGGCTGTAGCTTGGGGGGAGCCCTTTAAAACATCCCTCACCCCAGCCCCCTCCCACTGTTTAAAGGCACAGGACGCCTCTAATGTCCCTCCCCCACATGCAGGAGGATCATGGCTGCCCCATGCTGCTGCCCTGGGGAGGAGGGAGTGCTGGGGGGCTCAGAGACACCTGGCTGGGGTGTAATTAGGAGCAAGAAATATCTTGCCCCCTCCCCCGCCAGGATCAGGGCTGGAGGAGGCAGATCCTGCTAGGAGCCAGGACGCCTGGGTTCTCTCCCAGCTCTGTGCAGGCAGTGGGGTCTAGTGGTTAGGGGTGCAGGGGAGCTGGGAGCCAGGACGCCTGGGTTCTATCCCCAGCTCTGTGCAGGCAGTGGGGTCTAGTGGTTAGGGGAGCTGGGGGGCTGGGAGCCAGGACGCCTGGGTTCTGTCCCAGCTCTGGGAGGGGAGTGAGGTGTAGGGGTTAGAGCAGCAGGGGCTGGGAGCCTGGGTTCCTTTCCTGCTTCTACCACTTCTGACCACAGCTCCCCGGCTCAGTTGCCTCAGAAGAGATAGGGTGGATGGATACCTACCCCTCCACCGAGCTTCTGTCACAGAGACATCTCCTGAGCTGCCCGGCGTCTCCGCCCTGGTCCCCACGTCTCTGGCTGGGGGCACAGGGGCCCTGTCACCTGGCATGGCCCCACCCCGGGACAGAGAGCAGCCCTGAGCGCTGGCTGGGGCCAAAGTGCAGGTGTGGAGGGTTGTACCTGGGAGGGACTATCCACGGGGCGGGGGGGCTCTCCCTGATACAACACAGGTTTTGTGCCCATCACATTGGCCTGGGGGCTGGGCAGGAGATTGTTGAATGCTCTTAAAAACACAGACACAGGACTCCTGGATTCTCTCCCCGGCTCTGGGAGGGGAGTGGGTCTAGAGGAGGGGGGCTGGGAGCCAGGACTTCTTGGCCAGAAACCCCCCAGGAATTTGGCTTCCCCCTCCCAGGTCTGGAGTGAATCAGAAGCAGTGCCCCCTAGCAGGGAAAGACCCCATATCCCACCCCACAGTCAGCCTGCCCCCTAGCAGAGCCCTCCCCCGACAGCCCCATCTGGGCCTCACCAGCGGTTCGGGGAGGTCTGGGGGTCACTCGACAACAGGGTCCATCTCAGCCGAGCCCGGTCGGCTCCCCAGGGTGTCTGGGCCACGGGGTGTGAGTCTTCCAACAGCTGGTTCCTGCTGACGTCTGGAGACCTTGGCCTGGCCATGTCCAGAGGGGTAACATTCGCTGCCTGGCCTGCGGGCGTCCAGGAGCCAGGAATGGGTTTATACGGGGACACTGAGATGCGACCGCCTCTGGGGTGGAGCATGGAGGCTAGTTAGCTAGGGACCCCCTCGCCCAGCTTAACAGCTGCTCCCCACCCTTAACTGTTCCGTACCCGCCTCAGCGTGTGGCTTTGAGGAGCCTTCCTCCCCGGTACCCAGTTTGGTTCCCCTTCCCACCTGTGAAATCCCCTCGCTTGGATTTAATCGCTGGTGAATGTTTATGTTTACCGTAGGGCCTACCAAAACTCAAGGCCTGAGAGGGGCTTGCGCAATGCCGACCCGCTGGTCTTGTTTTGAGCGTGTTTCCTTTTTTTAAAATTTAAAGCTTGAGAAATATTCATGCAGTATTTACTGTAGGGCCTACAAAAACGCAAGGCCTGTACGTGCCTGAGAGGGGCTGGCGATAAAGTTGGTTGGCCTTGGACCCACGGGCTTCATTGTCCATCTGCCTGTGTCTATCTTTATTTAGGTGGACAATATGTTTACCAAGTGTTTATTGTAGGGCCTACGGGAAATCACGGCTCGTGTGCACTTGAGCGGGCTGCCAATAAAGTTTTGTTGAGGACCCCCCAGCCCCACTAGAATCCCACGTGGGCTACCTGGGTAACAATAGATGATTGGCAGCTGTCTGAGCCAATAATCAGAGGCAGTGGGCCAATCACGAAGGAGTATGGGTGGGTTTGCGGCTGGGTGTGATAAAGCGTTGCGATTGCCAGATTGACTGTCCAATAGAATGGGACGGAGTACGACCAATCAGAGAGGAGACTGGATGTACGGGGTGGGAACAGGATGATCGACAGTAACTTCGGCCAATGGACGCTGGTAGAGGCAGCGAGGCGGTCATATCTCGGTGAGGGGGCAGGAGTGAGATTAGATTGATAGCTGTGCGAACCAATAGTACCCGGAGAGGCTGGCGAAGGGACCAATGGGTCCCCAGAAGGCAGGAAGGACAGGATTGGCACCCGAGTAGTCCAATAGGAGGCGGTGTAGGGGCGGGGCGGGTGGTGGTTGCTTGTCAGGAGCCCAATGGGGAGCGAAGGGGCCGGACGAACGATTGACAGACACCTAGTCTCACCAATGGGAAGAGCGGGCGGGGCGAGCGGGTGACAAACACTCCGACGGCCCAACAGCAGCCGGAGGGTGGAGGCGCGGGGCCGCGCGGTGGGGGGCGGGGCGAGCAGCGACCGACCCGCGGGCTGGCCCAATGGGAAGCGGCGGGGCCGGGCCGGGGGCCAATGGGCCGCGCGGGGGGCGGGGCGAAGGCCGCGAGGGCCCCGCGGGAGGGCGAGCGCGGTCCAGAGGCGGCGGCGGCTGGGGCAGGTGAGACGCGAGCGGCCGCGGGGGGAGGGGCGATGGCGGTTCCTCCCCAACCCCCCCCCCCCGCCCCCCCCCCCCCCCCCCCCCCCGGGCGCGGCCCCCCCCCACACGCCGTGGGGGCAGCGGGGGCGGGTGGGGCCGGGAAACCCCCTCCCCGTCCTGGGCACAGCGGGGAAACTGAGGCACGGAGCCCGGGAGAGAACCCAGGAGTCCCGGCGGCCGGGCCATGGCGCCCCCCCGGGTTGCTCCCCCCGCCGCCAGCCGGGCTGTTAAAGTCTGTGTCCAGTTGCAGGTCATGGGAGTGGGGTCTAGTGGCTAGAGCAGGGGGGGCTGGGAGCCAGGACTCCTGGGTTCTCTCCCTGGCTCTGGGAGGGGTGTGGGGTCCAGGGGTTAGAGCAGGGGGGGATGGGAGCCCGGACTCCTGGGTTCTCTCCCTGGCTCTGGGAGGGGTGTGGGGTCCAGGGGTTAGAGCAGGGGGGGCTGGGAGCCCGGACGCCTGGGTTCTCTCCCTGGCTCTAGGGGGTTCTCTGGGGGAACCAGTAATGAGCCGCTGCATGAGGCCGGGGGGGGGGCGTTTTGTTGCTTGCTGTTGTTTTTGTCCCATTCCTGGTCCCTGGTACCTGCTGAAGGGGAACCCCCGGGGCGGGGGGCCCGGGCTGTGCGAGCCGGAGCGGTGACCCCCGGGGCGGTGTGAGGGAACAGGGGGTGCTGGGCTGCGGGATAGGGGTGCTCTCCGCTGGCGGGCGCTGGGCTGCAGGGAGCAGAGGAGGTGAGGGATCCCTGGATACCCAGTCCCCTCGCCCCACCCCAGAGGGGCCGCGGCCCTGCCCCACCTCTGCCATACGCTGCCGGCATTGGGTGGGACCGAGATGATGAGGATCCCCCAGGGGTGGGGGCCCGGGGCAGGGCCTGTCTGGCTGTCTCACGCCCCTCCCCTCGCGCAGCAGCCAGCAGCATGCGTCTGGCCGGACCATGGGCTCCACGCGGGTGACGGCGAAGGAGCTGTGTGAAAATGACGACCTGGCCACCAGCCTGGTGCTCGACTCCTACCTGGGCTTCAAGACCCACAAGATGAACGTCAGGTCAGGGCGGGGCTGTGGGGCGGGAGTGAGGGGCACCAGGGAGGGGCCCAGGGCTGGGCTAGCAGGGGCTGCGGGTCGGGAGTGAGGGGCACCGACAGGGCTGGGGAGGGCCCAGGGCTGGGCTAGCAGGGGGCTGCGGGTCGGGAGTGAGGGGCACCGGAAGGGCTGGGCTAGCAGGGGGCTGCGGGTCGGGAGTGAGGGGCGGTGGGGTGGGGGGGCAATGGTCAGGACTCTGTAGCACCCCAGTTCTCTCCCTCCCCCCCAGTCCGCTCCCCGCCATCCGGAGGCAGCACCACCTGCGGGAGGCGGTGGAGGCGTTTCGCCGGCGCCGGGACCTGGACGCCGCCTACCGCGCCCTCCTGCTGGGCGAATGGGCCGGCCCCTACTTCAAGAGCCGCAGCCGCCAGCAGGAGACGGCGCTCAAAACCCACGTGAGTCCCGGGTCCTGTCCTGGCTCGGGGTGGGGGCCAGTGGTTCGAGCAGGGCGGGGGAGCTGGGAGCCAGGACTCCTGGGTTCTCACCCTGGTTCATGGTTCCTCTCGAATCCTCTCTCCCCAGATACTCCGCTACCTCCGCATCTTCCTCCCAGAGAGCGGCTTCGCGATCCAGCCGTGCAGCCGCTACTCCCTGGAGACCAACGGCGCCCAGGTGGTGTCCACAAAGTCCTGGTACGGGGTCCTCAACTCACCCCACCCCCATGGGCGAGGGGTCCCCGAATAACCAGCCCCCTTCCCCACCCCAGAATGGCCGCAGCAGGGCGAGGGGTCCCCGAATAACCAGCCCCCACACCCACCCCAGAGGGGTCGCAGCCCAGCGCCAGGCGAGGGGTCCCTGAATAACCAGCCCCCACACCCACCCCAGAACGGACGCAGCCCAGCGCCAGGCGAGGGGTCCCCGAATAACCAGCCTCCACACCCCACCCCAGAGGGGTCGCAGCCCAGCGCCGGGCGAGGTGTCCCCGTATTCCCAGCCCCCACGCCTCACCCCAGATGGGTTGCATCCTAGCAAGGGGTCCCCGAGTAACCAGCCCCCGCGCCCCGCCCCAGAGGGGTCCCTGTCTGATCAGCCCCGGCGCCCGACCCCGTAGCGCCCGGCGTGGGGGCCGTGCGGAAGGCTGGACAGGCCCCCCTGACTCGTCCCCCAATGCCCGCCAGGGGGAAGAACGACAAGCTGGAGCTGCTGGTGGGCTGCATCGCGGAGCTGACGGAGCCGGACGAGAGCCTGCTGCGGGCCGGGGAGAACGACTTCAGCATCATGTATTCCACGCGCAAGCAATGCGCCCAGCTCTGGCTGGGCCCCGCCGCCTTCATCAACCACGGTGCGGGGGGCTCCTCCCCCAGCCCGGCCGGGCCCCCCCCCCGCTCCCAACCTGGCCAGCCCTGGGCTCCTCCCGTGGCCCAACTGGGCCCCCTGCTCCCGGCCAGCCCAGCCCTGGGCTCCTCGCCCGGCCGGGCCCCCTGCTCCCGACCCGCAGCCCCGTGTTCTCGTTGAGATCTGCACAGACACTAGCCTCCCTCCACCTGCGCAGTAGGCCCCCTTCTGGGGGGCAGAGGTGGGGTCTGTCTCCTTGACCCCCCCCAGCCCCCCTTGGTCTCGGTGCTGTGAGGGTCACAGAGCACCTGCTCTGACACTGGCAGGGTGAGTCTGTTCTCCACCTTCTAGGTGCTGGCCAGGGCTGGGTGGGAGCCGGTGTCCCCTAGAGGGGAGAGGCCCCATGTCCCAGTCTCTGCCCTGGGGCCGGGTGGGAGGCAGCGCCCCCTAGAGGGGCTGGACGTGTACCACCCCTTCTGGCTTCAGCCGCTGTCTGTAGCAGCAGCCTGTGGTTATCTCACCCCGGGGTGTTGGGGGCTCTGTGGGGATCTGCTCTGAGCGTGGGGGAGTCGTAGGCGTCTGACCCTCTTCTCTGGCTTCTCTCTCTTGTGTCTCCTCTTGTCCCACCGTGGAACCCGCCAGACTGCAGGCCGAACTGCAAGGTAAGGCCGGCTGCCTGGGGGTCCGTCCTGGCTCCGGGAGGGGAGTGGGGTATAGTGGTTAGAGCAGGGGTCTCAAGCTCAAATGACCATGAGGACTAGTACATTGGCCCGAGGGCCGCATTACTGATACCTCCCCCCCGCCCCTGCTGCCCTCGGCCCCGCCCCCACTCCACCCCTTCCATGAGGCCCCGCCCCTGCCCCGCCTCTTCCCACCCCTTCCCTGCCCCCGTTCCAACCCCTTCCTCGAAATCCCCACCCCAACTCTGCCCCCTCCCTGCCCCCAGGGGGTGCAGGAGGGGTGTGGGGTGCGGCAGGGGGTCGGGGTGCAGGAAGGGTGCGTAGTGAGGCAGGGGGCTCAGGGCAGGGGGTCGGGGTGCAGGAGGGGTGCAGGGTGAGGCAGGGAGTCAGGGTGCAGGAGGGGTGCAGGGGGTTGGGGTGCGGCAGGGGGATCAGGGCAGTGGGTTGGGGTGCAAGAGGAGTGCAGGGTGCGGCAGGGGGCTCAGGGCAGTGGGTTGGGATGCAGGAGGGGTGCGGGGTGGGGCAGGGGGTCGGGGTGCAGGAAGGGTGCGTGGTGAGGCAGGGGGCTCAGGGCAGGGGGTCGGGGTGCAGGAGGGGTGCAGGGAACGGCAGGGGGTTGGGGTGCAGGAGGGGTGCGGGGTGAGGCAGGGAGTCAGGGTGCAGGAGGTTGGGGTGCAGGGTGCGGCAGGGGGCTCAGGGCAGGGGTTCGGCTGCAGGAGGGGTTCGGGGGGCAGGATCTGGCCCTGCCGGCCTGTCTGCCCTGTCCCCGCAAGAGGCTGGAACGGGGGGAGGGGGGGGCGGAGGGGCTGTGTGTTTCTGTTGCTTGAGGCACCGGCCTCAGCAGCTCCCATTGGCCGCGGTTCCCCGTTCCCGGCCAATGGGAGCTGCTGGGGGCGCTGCCTAAAGTAACAGACACACACAGCCCCTCCGCCCCCCCTTCCCCACGTTCCAGCCTCTTCCCGGAGCGGCGCAGGGCAGGCAGGCAGGGAGCCTGCCCTGCTCCCGGTGCACGTCCGGCCGGAGCCGCTCTGGTAAACCCGGGGGGAGGGCGGGGGGGCTGCGAGGGGCTCGCGGGCCACAGAAAATCACGGGTTAGAGCATGGGGGGATGGGAGCCAGGACTCCTGGGTTCTCTCCCCTGCTCTGGGAGGGGAGTGGGGTCTAGTGGATCAGAGCAGGAGGCGCTGGGAGCCAGGACTCCTGGGCTCTCCCCCACTGAATGTGAGACCCCGGGGAAGGGAGGTGCAAGGGGAAGTGCCCCCCATCTGTAAATTTGGGGCTTAGGGTAGATTAGCCAAGGACTTTGAGACCCCTGCTAGGAGCCGCTGGGGGGCATCGGGGGGAGATCAGCGATGCTGTGGGGGGTTGGGGGTGGCGCTGACAGGCGCTGTGCACTCCTCATGGCCAGGGAGGGACACCCCCCGTCCCGTGGGCGTGTCTGCGCCCCGTCTCCCAGCAGGGCCCCGGCTGATGCCCCCTGTCCCCCCAGTTCGTCCCGACGGAGGGGAACACGGCCTGCGTCAAGGTGCTCAGGGACATCGAGCCGGAGGACGAGATCACCTGCTTCTATGGCGACGGCTTCTTCGGGGAGAACAACGAACTGTGTGAATGCCGCACCTGTGAGAGGTGGGGGGGCTGGGGAGCTGGGAGCCAGGACTCCTGGGTTCTGTCCCGGCTCTGGGAGGGGAGTGGGGTCTAGTGGGGAGAGCGGTGGGGGATGGGAGCCAGGACTCCTGGGTTCTATCCCTGGCTCTGAAAGGGGAGTGGGGCCTGGTGGGAGCCAGGACTCCTGGGTTCCCGTCTGCAAGGTCTCTGTTTCCTCAGGAAGGGGGAAGGTGCCTTCCGGCTGCGGAAGAAGGACCCCTTGCAATCTACCTCAGCCCAGAAGAAATACCTGCTCCGGGAGACGGACGGGCGGCTGCAGCGCTGGAAGGGGCGGGTCTCCAAACAGGCGCAGCAACAGAGCATGAGGCGGCGGCGCAGGGCCCGGCGCAGGAGGGAGCGTGGCCGCGGTAGGAGCCCCGGCCTGGGGGGGCTGTATCCCAGTGCCGGGCAAGAGGGCCCCAGACACCAACCACCCGCATGCCAGCCAGAAGTGCCGCGTCCCGGCGCCTTTGACTGGCGTCCATTTCTCTGTCCTCTTGCAGCTTCCCGGCTCCGAGCTCTATGCCGTGGGCCGGCCTCCTCTCTCGCGGCTCTGGGCGCCGGCCCGGCGAAGGACCTGCGGATCTCCCTGCACGACTGCGTGGCCTGCCGGGCCGCGGGGGGAGCCGGCTGTCGGCTGCGGAAGCCGCTCTGGGTCACCCTGCCGTGGTGGCGCCCCAGGGCCGGGCAGCCGGGCCCTGCGCCAGCCGGCACCGTCGTCCTCCGTCGCTCCCTGCGCAGACGCCGCCGGGCGCAGCGGGACGACAGCTGCTGCACGACCGCCGGCCTGGGTGCCCCGCGGCCCACGTCGCCCGGCCCGACCCACGTGGAGCTGGGGGGCAGGCTGCCGAGGGGGCTGGCCGGGCAGGGCTCTGGGGCGGAATCCCCCCTGGCTGGGGAGCTGCACGGGGTCAGAGCCGCCGGGAGCTGCCTCAGACGGGGCCTGGAGGAGACTCGGCCGTGCGCAAGGCCCTCGGGTGGAGTTCTGGAGCTCCGGGCTGGGGTCACGGGGCCCCCTAGTGGAGCTCTGAAGCTGTGCGCTAGGGACACACAGCTCCGTGCTGGGGACTCAGGGCCCCCTGGTGGAGCGCTGGAGCTCCGGGCCTGGGACTCGGGGCCCCCTGGTGGAGCTCTGGAGCTCTGTGCTGGGGACTCGGGGCCCCCTGGTGGAGCGCTGGAGCTCCGGGCCGGGGACTCGGGGCCCCCTGGTGGAGCGCTGGAGCTCTGTGCTGGGGACTCAAGGCCCCCTGGTGGAGCGCTGGAGCTC